CGGGGCCTCCCCCTGCGCGGGGGCGGGGGCCACGTGCGTGCCGCGCGGGGGCGGGGGCGGCGCCGCAGAAATCCCCGCATTGCGGAGCGCGGGGAAGCCGGGGCCGCCCGCCCCGCCCGCCTCCCGAGCCTCGGCTCGCGTCTGTTTGTTGTGAAACCCGAGCCCTCGCTCATGTGACCCGCTCCTCCCCCCGGCCGGGCGGGGTGGCCGGGGAGGCCGCGCGCCGGGTTTTTCCAGGGTGATGACGGGCAGGATTTCGAGGCCGGCTGCCTCCCTGCCTCCCGCGGCCCGGGCCTCGGAGGTGACTCGGTAGAGCGTAGAGCGCAGGGTCTCGGTGCTCGTTTGGTGGGGCGCCGGCCCCCCTACCCCCCGTCCCCGGGCGGACGTCCTAACCCGCGTGCGTCCCCCCAGGCACCCGGGTGTACAGCCCCCCGGAGTGGATCCGCTACCACCGTTACCACGGGCGCTCGGCCACGGTGTGGTCCCTGGGCGTGCTGCTCTACGACATGGTGTGTGGGGACATTCCCTTCGAGCAGGACGAGGAGATCCTGCGAGGCCGCCTCTTCTTCCGGAGGAGGGTCTCCCCAGGTGCGTGCCGGCTGCGGGGGCCGCGGGGAGCACCGGAGCCCGAGGAGCCCGCCCCCTCCTGACCGTCCCCCCTCCTCTCCGCAGAGTGCCAGCAGCTCATTCAGTGGTGTCTGTCCCTGCGGCCCTCGGAGCGGCCGTCGCTGGACCAGATCTCCGCACACCCCTGGATGCTGGGGGCGGAGGGTGGCCCCGCAGAGAGCTGTGACCTGCGGCTGCGCACGCTGGACGTGGACGACGGGGCCAGCACCACCTCCAGCAGCGAGAGCTTGTGAGGAGGGGCCGGGGCCTGGCTTGTGGAGCCAGAGGGACCCCACCCCACCCGGGCTGTCTGCTTCCTGCACAGGCAGTGACCTCTGACTCCTGGTGACCTTTGCCTTCGGCACCGGGCTGTTTCCTTCGCTTTGAGTGCCTTTTCGAACGCTGCTCTCGCGGGACTTGGTCTTTTCAAGCTCTGTCTGTCCAAAGACGCTCCGGTCCAGGCGGGGTCCCGTCCGGCCTGGCCTGGGCAGGTGCGGGGCCCCGAGACCGTCCCTCTCTTGTGCTGCTCCGGGAGGCAGGCCTGTTGGACTATGTCGGACCAGGAGCATGTCCTGTGGCCTCAGCTCACGGGGGGGGGCACGGGGCCTCTGGTGCCCGCTCCCCCCCACCCCTTCCCGCGCCCACCTGTCCGTCAGTGTTCGTCCGGGCACGTCTGTGCACTAGCAATGCAACGTTGGGGCCTCCGCCGCCTGTGCGTGCGCACGTCTATTTATGGTCTGACCCTGAGGAGGGCTATTTATTGTTTAATTTATTTGCAGGCGTTCCCTCCTCCCGGCGCCCCCACCTTCTGCAGGCCCCGGGGTGGGGGTGGTGGCCGTGTGTGTGGACCCCAGGTCCCGGTCCTACCTGTGTCTGTTGGAAGGTGGACTTGTACAGTGGCTAATTTGGGGGGAGAGGGTGCCTCCCCCACCTCATGGCTCTGTGCCTGGGCGTGGGGGGGGGTGGGGGGGTTTTAAATTATTGACCTTGTACAGTCCGCTTGTTGGCTCTGGAGGCTGGGGGGTGGGGGGACAGAGTCTCAAGCCTTTAATTTATTGTAGCAGCTGTCTCTGTAGTCCAGGTGCATGCGCACCGTGGATGGGGTTTCTTTCGGTTCAAAAGTGAGATGTCTGGAGATCCTATTTTTTATACAGGTATTTCAATTAAATCGTTTTTGTATATAACAGTTACTCCGTGTTTATGAGGCAGGGAGGCTGCGGGGAGGTTTGGAGGAAGGGGCCTGGGGTCTCTGGGCAGCCCCCTCCTCGTTCTGTGGGGAGGTAGCACACGGTGGGGACCTAGGCTCTTTCCTTGGCCTCCTTGCCACCCCGTTCTCGCCCCCCACTCCCCAAGGGCAGGAGGCTGTGCTATCAGGGTCTTCTGGGAGGGGGCAGGGAGCCCCGGCCTGGGATGACGTTGCCACCGCTAGTCTGGAGGCTGTGTCTGGGGGTGGCCACAAGGGGACCTCCGGTTTCTGTTCCCGGGGATGCCTAGTCAGCCGTGGGAGGAGGAAACGGCCCTTGCTCAGGCCACGTGGGCAGAAGCGTCCAGGGAGAGGCGTCCGTGCTGTTCCATAGATGGAGGGAAGGGGTTCTGAAGGATAAGTAGACGTTTGTTGGGTGGAGGGTGTAAGAAGACATTCCAAGCCCAGAGAGCAGGGGTGGGTGGGGTCAGGGGGCAAGTGCTGGCTGGTTGGGCCTTGGCCTGACGGTTGAACGGTTAGGGTAGAAGCTGCGGCCAGATTCAGATGCGGAAACACGGGCGAGACACCACGCAGGGCAAGCTGAGCGGGGGTCTGGTCACGTCCCGCCCCTCTGTGGGCCCTCTGTGGGGCCATCTGCTCAGCAGCCCCTGGTGATGGGACAGCGGGGCACCTGCTGGGTGACCGTCTTGTGTCCCGGGTCCCCGCACACAGCTGGAGGCCTGTCCCTGTGTCCCACAGCCCAGGTGCCAGCCATGTGCCTGTGCTCAGAGCACGCACACCGTTGTGTGCCTGCCAGTGCGTCCCTGGGAGCACAGAGTGAGATAAAGGGAGCATCTTGAGACCACAGGCAAGAGCAGACAGGAAGTTTTAGAAAGCAGAGCTAGAGAAAGTGAAGCGGGGGGGGGGGGGGGGGGGTGCTGTGGGGGGGGCTGGGCCTGCAGGGATTCAGTGGGTGCTTGGGGCCTGCTGGGGCCTGGCCGGCCTTTCCTGAGGAATCATTAAGGCTCAGGGGTCGCCAGGGACCCCCGAGCAGCTGCATGAGGCAGTGGGGCTGCGTGGGGAGACGGTGCACCTGTTCCCTGGCCCTGGCAACCCCCTGACTCGCTGGGGCTCTCCGTGCTTCCCCCACCGTCTGCGAGGACAGGGCCCCTCAGACAGCCTTGCCCGTGTGGGCTGGAGCTTGTTGGGGGAACACTCGGAGAGCTGAGCGTGGTGTCTCTGCAGCATTTGGGCCTCCGCCCTCCTCTCTGGTGACAGTGACTCGTGCGTCCCTGTGATCCCAGCCCCCCACTTGCCAGCTGAGGATGCTGGGCCGGTGTGGGGCACCACCCCTCGCCCCTCGTCCGCCCATCCTCCTCTGTCCATCCGGCCACCCACCTAAAGCTCCAGTAATCCTTCACTGAGCTCATCTTTGTGGGGGACCCCGAGTCGAGCGCTTGTAGAGGGCCGGGGCGCTGAGTGCAGCCTGTGGGGAAGGCGTAAGGTCTGGACGGCCCGAGGAAGGCCGGTCCCCGGTACAGCGGGTATCCTGCCCACAGGAGGCACCTTGTGAGGACGCTCAGGGACACGGGGTCAGAGGCACGTGTGCGGGCAAAGTCCGGAGGTGAGTGGGGGAGTCTCGCCCTGCTTGGTGAGCGCGGAAGCCCCCGCAGGCCGGGCCCGTGCCAGGGGGACACACCGTTCTACGTCCCCGATCGCACGTGGTGAGGCCATGCCGCTGGCCAAGGCCGCCGCCCACTTATCTGTAAGGCCTGAACGTCCCAAGTCTCCAGGACATTCAGGAGGGGCCTGGGGGACAGTGTGTCCCTGAGTTTGCCCCTGGGACAGAGGGCACAGCGCCATGCCGAGTTTGGGCAACGCTGCCCTCCTCGGGGTCCCTGGCGGTCAGGGGGCTCTGCCAGCCTCCCCCGAGGCTCCTCAGCCCTTCGGCCTGTGTGCCCAGTGACACCTCTGAAGGTGTGGCAGGCTCAGGCTGGCGCTGGGCAGACGGCCCGGAGGGTGGCCATCGATGGGTTCATGGGTGTGGCCACATGGGACGCGGCCCCCTGCCTGCGGCGGGGAGGCCCCTCTGATGGAGGGGAGAGTAGGCAGGGAGACGGTGCTGGCCTGCGTGTGTCAAGGCCAATGGGGAACGTGGCCTCGGTCTGGGGCCCGAGGGTGGGCAGAAGGTGGGGGGCTGGCGCCGCCCATGCGGGGCCACCCCCACTTCCTCGGCCCAGCCCTGCCCCCCTCTGCCTCAGTGCTGACTGAACAAGCCCCGGGCACCCCCAAAGCACCCTCCCCCCTAGCTGGCCCGCCCAGTCCAGGGCTAGATGCTGTCTGTACTCCCGGTTCCCAGCTCCAGCAGGCAAGGGCTCAGCCAGGTCATGCCTGGAGAAACTGAGGCCCAAGTGGCAGGACCTCCTGTAGGTGCTGGAGTAGGACGCTGGCCCCACTGTTGTGTCCCTGCACGTAGTCGCCGCTGAGAGCCAGGCTGGAGGCTGGGGGAGCGGGGGAACGGTGGGCCTGGCTGCATCCGGACCTCCAGGACCCCGGAGAGGCAGAGGGTGCAGCACTGTCTGGGGGGCTTTCCCAGCCCCTTCCCGAAATTTCCGAGAATCCGCCGTGGGCAGAGCTCCGGGTCTGAGGCTCAGGCAGAAGCTCAGAGCTGCGGCTGAGGCAGGCCCTGCCCTGCCCCAACCCTGCCACCTCTCTCTCTGTGTGGGCCCCTCACCCTCCTCCCTGCTCCTAGACACAAGCCTGGAGCTCCTCAGGACCCGAGGGGCCGGCCTGCCCCCTGCCCCTCCACCCCCCAGGCCCTGCACTCCTGGCCTCTCCCTGCAGAGGGAAGCGTGGCCAGTTCCCTCTGAACTGAAACGCCAGTTCCCTCTGCCCAGGGCCTTGACGGTCCTGTACTGGGCTGGTGCCCGTCTCGCCGTCTTTTCATATCTTGGGTCCATTTAACGTGGAGGGTTTTTTAGAGCCACTGGGTTGAGTTCCCAGGTTCCATCCTTCAGGGACTCCGCTAGGGGTGGCGTGGAACCCAGAAGTCCTCATGGAAGGAACAGAAACCCCGAGCTGCCGCCCACCAGGTTCTGCCGTCCGCTCCTCCGGGCCCTTCCCTCCTGGAGCGCTCCCTGGGCTCTATTTGCGGGCGGCTTTGATTGGTTTGCTCATGGCCGGGCCCTCTGAGGGCGGCTGGGTGGGTGCTGGCTGTGCCCACAGGGTCGGGGGGAGGCGTCGGAGGCCGCCCCTCCTGGCCCCTCACCCACTGGCCTGAGACCGGCCCGGCCCCCGGACGAGAGCGGCTGGGACGCAGACCCGGGTCGGAGCCGTGTTAAGTTTCTTTTCTCCGGTGCGGCCCCCCAAAACGAAACCTTGGCGTGGCTTTGGTGCCAAAGCTTCACAGAAAAGGAAGTGATTCCTGGCAGGGGCCCCGGAGCCCCACCTGCCCCTTCTGGGCATGCAGACCCCAGCTGGCATGCTAACGTGGGAGTCCCCATGCTAACGGAAGCCGTGCCAGGAGGAAATGTGAAGGGGGCAGTTGGGCCTGGGGCCGGCGGTGGAGGCCTGGACGGCCGGGGGCCGTGGGGCCCGGTGGCCAGGAGGGACACCCAGATCAGGGGATGCCCGCACCACACGGGGCCCCGGAGGAGGGGGCAGGGCCGCGCGCCCCCTCTGCAGGCGCCCTGGCCGCTCTGGAGAAGGCCTCTGGAGGGGCCCAGCGCTGGGCACGGGCAGGCCTGAGGTCCTGGGCGAGCCGCAGGGAGGGTGTCGGCCAGGCCCGGCTCCTCTCCACGGAGCTAAGGGATGGGCCCCCACTCATCTCCTGACGCCTGGCTGTGGGTGAGGGGGTGCAGGACGCACGGGGAAGTGCTAGCCCTGGGGTTTCTCGGTGGGCCCTTCTCCCCTCCGGGGGCCTCTGATTAGGGGGGCCGGGGGGCTCTGCCTTAGCCTCTGGCACATGACTTCCAGGCCGGCCGGCTTTCCAGGCAACCTTGGCAAAACCCCGGGCTTCGGTTACACAACTGACCCCTGGAGTTCCTGGCAGTCAGGCCTGCCGGGCAGGGTGGGGGCAGGGCCTGCCCCTCCGGCACTGGTCACTGCCCTCTTCCTGGCCTGCTCCCTGCAGGAAAGCTCTTCCCTGGAGGCTGGGCCCCAGATAGTGGCCAGGAGAAGGTGGGGAGGAATGGGAGGTCCAGTCCTGGATCGATGAATAGGGGCCTCCCTGCGGGGTGGGTCACCTGTACCCAACACCGAATGAGCCAGGTGGAGGAAACCGGGGCTCAGGGGGGGTCAGGAACCCCCCAAAGGCCACAAGCAGCCGAGTGGACCCATTTCGTCCAGGAAGGAGGAAGAGGTCACCCTGGGGCACAACCTCGTCTTCCCAGCACGGGACTCGGAGGCGAGCGCCCTCTGATCTGGCCTCTGGCCCTGTCAGCTGTCCTGCTAGGAGGCCGCCAGCCCTGATCTGAGGCTCAGGCCAATGTCATGGGTCCCGGCCACCTGTCGGGAAGCACCCTCAGGTTTCCCTGCCTTGCCCACCCGTGCTGCCCTGAGCTCCTCACCCAGAAACGCTGTGCTTAGTGACCCCCACCCCACTGGCCACCTCGGCAAGGGGGAGGGGTGGAAAGCAGAGGTGCCGGTGCCCACGGCCAGGCCCAGCCCAGTGGCCTGGCTCTCCTGCTCCTGGGGCCCCTGGGGCCTCTGCCAGGGCCTGGGCTGCTGGCCCAGGGCTGGACCTTGAGGATGAGAAGGTGCCTGTCTTGCAGGTGGCAGGGTCTCTCTGGGTCGCAGATGCCCCTGGTCCTGGGACCCAGAGTCCAGGAAGGGCTGGGAAGCCCCACCTGCTGGGCCAGGCCAGCCAGGATTCAGGGATCCCGGGCCCCTGGGTGCTGCTCCGGGGGGGGGGGGGGGGTGTGATCCTCCACTGTCTGGGAGCCAGGAGCCCGGGAGGCCCACATCAGCACTTAGGCCACGGCGCGGCCTGCCCAGCAGACACC